ATGAGGCATGAGGAAGAATCAACACATTTTTCCTATTAATGGTAAGCTAAGAATACATTAGACTTGGCCTAAATTTAAGTTTTCTTTGAAAATAGTGGAACATTTTGCGACCACACATGGCGAGAGGAAAATCTGTCTTTCAAAGGTGCTTGATTCAGCAAAATGAGATTACACTGACCAATATGCAATTTTGTTTTCAGCTACACTTAAAAAACATAATCAGAGTTTCCAGTATGATTGCACCTTTCAGAGGGTATTATGTCACAATTTTATGCAAAATTACATCCATGACTTTGTCTCAAATTTGCACTTAGAAGTGATTCATATATTTCTCAGTTACACATCCAAAATGATCCCTAAGTGAAAAACCAAATACAAACCTGATAACCTTATTAAATGATCTCTGTTCTGTTTATCTTCAACATTTCCAAATTTGTGTCTATTCTTTCACCACTATTCTATTTTTTATTCTAACCACATCCACCCTTACATTCCCTTTCTGTCAAAAAAAAAAAGACTCTTGTCCTGACAGCATGGTGATGGTTTTGTGTGAAAAAAGTCTTTAGAGAAAGAAATCCAATATCTGTCCCCAAATAAGGTGTATGCCACTGCCTGTATTGTTTCAATATAATTAACCCAATTAAATGACCATGGAGTGGCAGGGTCAATTTAATTTGGGGGGGGGGGGGCAAAACAGGTACATTCTCTTGTGTGACCCAGACAATCAGTTTTATTAATTGTCTCCTTTTCAGCCTTAAAGCAGTTCCGAGTTAAGACCTGTTGGAAGGGGTTTAAATTGGAAGCAGTGAGGCAGTCCTAATGGCCCTTCCATTAGCACTGGGCATGTCCAGAGACCACACAGCAAAGGTCAGGCACTGTCACTGTGAATTAAACTGTCACAGCTCTTGGAAATGTCACCCCCAGATTAACCTGTCACATATTTAAACTGCTATTTGACAGAGTGTCACCTGTTTCATTTCTTGTCTCTTCTACAAAGAGAGAGAGAGAGAGAGAGAGAGAGTGAGAGAGTGTGAGGGTTTAGGTACCAATGAGTACTGATATTGTACTACAAATTGAATCCAATTCCATCCATTCCCTTGGAGCAGACTTTTTTCCATGAAAAACATTAAGCACCTCTTGATTTTCTCTGTTAAAATTCCCTATTTAAGCATGTCACTGAATTGGTGACAATTTTTTTTACAGGTAATTAAATATATATAATTTCTTTCTACATGTGTTCTTTTTAAATTGTATTATTATGCTAGTTTTTTAACAGTTACTTACCTATCTCTTCTGACAGTGTTCTTTTTTCTTTTCTGGGGTTATCTTTTTTTCTAATTCCTGTAATACAAAACCCATTTCTTCAAAATTCTAATGATTTTAAAGAATTCACTAGAGTTAAAAACTATTTCAATAATATTAAATAACAATAATATATATATATATAAATTATGTTTGATTATTATCACATCAGATATAATAATCACACTTTTGGTGTTTTTCTCACAGCATTTCCACATTTTTTCAAAATTTTGATCTCTCCAGATCATGCTTTGAAAATTTGCGGACTTCACTGTAAAGAGCTAGTATTTCCATCTTCTACCATTCTAAATCTGTACATCTGCATTCTTTATTTCCAACTACTTACATGATATTTTATATTAATGTAAAGTTAAATTATCTAAACATGGCATATTTGAATTATAAGGTTATTATTATCGTTAATTGTAAATAAAAACCCTCCAGTGCCTTTTATGTATGCAGTCTTTCCTAATCATACATCTTAATACTCTAAATTTTGGAGCAGCGCTCAATCGTTATAATTCACCATCTTTCTTGCCCCATACTTAATTTTAAAATGACCCATTAAACAAAACACACATGTTGCCTTTCAATAATGAGGAGCTTTTCCAATTTAATAACAAATCCACTTTTCCTTACCCAACACAGCAGCAAGTTTCAATGGATTTTCACTTCCGTTTATTTACATTTGCTATTAAGTACAAGAGAAAGTAGTTTTGGCAGCACTGCCTTACAACAGTGGCAGGCTTCCCGTCATTAAGAGTTTCCTTGATATAGGTTTTCAGAAAGAACTTAACAGAAATTCTTACAGATGTCAAATCTGTGATGAATTTACGCAATGAGCTATGTAGAAAATGTTTGACAAGCACTGCTTTCTTCAACAAAATTTATTTTTTATAAAATTTTTTTTTTTTGTAATCATCACTGATTTAAGGAGAACATATAATGCTAAATGTGATTTGCCTTCTTTTCTTTCTTTTCAATAAGCCTTGTTTAAAAAAATAATTTACAATGTACATACATGTTTGAAAACCCTTCCCTCATTAGTTTTTTTCTCCATTTTCATCTCCAATGATCAAACAATACTTCTCACAAAACTGAGCTTACTGTAAAAAAAAAATCATTTGAAACGCAGCAAGTTTGAACAAATCACATCCTATTATTGAATCTGAAAAGTTAAAAAGACTTGGGTCATGAATTTTCCATAAAAAGGCAATTATTGTTGCCACACAAGTTGGCTTGCGTTCAAATGTCATGGGAAAGGGCTTCTTTCTAATTTGGCACAGAACAAGGCAAAGAAAGAGCCTTTCATTGAGAGATAATTGCTGCCAACAGTGTTCCTCCAAAAGAAATAACAGTTAAAAAATGAAAAAGTTCATATTTTTTTCTTGAAGGTGTGTGTGTGTGCAATACCAATTGCATTACCTTAGTTTTAGTTTAAAATAAGTGATCATTTGTCAACATCCAACAATTTTGTGAGAGACATACAAAACACAAAACTGATCCCAATAAAACCTGAAAAAAAGGGGGAAATATATATTGGGAACAGTTTTATGGTTTCAGTGTTTAAACACATGCATATTGCTTCAACATGTATCAAAAACTGAATTCTTTTTTGTCCAAAAATTAGGAAGGATCCCCACGTTTGTTTGCATCACACCTAGGAAAAACCAACAAGTAATAATAATAATAATTATCTAGGACATAGAATCCCAACATAAAGCTACATTTCAAAAACTTACTGAAGAGGACAATTGAAAACAATTTTGAAAACCTCTCGGAATTAATTTGGATGTCTGGTGACATATATCCAAGTTTGGTTTCCTCCCTTTTTCTGAGTCACTGCACTTACTGTCTTCTGATTGCTATAGCACATTCTTGTAACATCGGGACAGGCCATGTCAAACAATATAAACGGAAGTGTTGAACAGAACATCTGTTTACACAACAATCCTCAAGTGTGTGTTGAATCCAGATAAGCAGATGAAACACAACTTGGCATAACACTCTCACTATGATCCCACAGTGATGAATGCCTTTTCCTAATCCCCCTCTCCCTCCAAAGTCCTGGGGGTGGAGGCCGGGGAGGGGGGGAGGGAAGAGGTGAGCAATTTTAAATCATTAAAGCTTTTAATCTCTGTACTGATTGAAATATATGAAAAAAAGTGACCTCCCATATGCTGTGAACCATTCTCCTTATACATTGATTACAAAAAAAATCTATTAAAAATACAATGAACAATGTGTACCTTTTCCAACTTCCAGACCATCTCGTCAGTGTGTTGACTATATCTCTATCTGTATGCCCTTTCTCTGACTGGCCACAGACTATCTGAGAGCCAACAGGGGGTGGAAGTAAGGGATCACATTACTAGATAGGGTATACATATTTTTTCTTGGGCCTTGAAATAATGGGCTTACACAAGTTCTTTTTATTCTTACTTGTAATTGTTATTGTAGTCTAAATAATGTATTTCTAAATGACATTGTTACATCATGTCATTTGTACTACTGAAATACATATATAAATGTATTGGGCATTTGTTATGGCACATAAAGTAAAGTTTAAACCATATTGAAACTTTCATCCCTTTTGTTTCACATGTGGTAAATATATTTTATTTTGGGTGTACAGAAAATAATGCACATTATGTTTTATGCATTCATATATTGGAGTTGTCTCCTTCAGGAGGCTATTTAAGGCTGCATTCCCATAGATTTAGATCGATCCATCTGGATCGACCTACCTCCCTGAGGGGTCACGCTAAATTGCAGTCAGCCGAGCACGCACCATAGTTAATTACCCTCTTACAGCTTTTAGTAGGCGGGACAGACATTTAAGCCGGCTAAGCTGACAGTAATCTAGTGAGACTCTCCACCGGGA